AGCTAAAGCATATACATGTGTCTCTAAACTGTTTGTATGTTGTGAGGGTGATGTGGGTAGTCTCAGGCAAAGCCTACACTGCTCATTGTGTGGTGGTGTTGTAACACCCCTGAGAATAGAGCACACTGTTGGCCTGCCGATGACTCATCTTGTGTTCAGACTGCACATAACACATATTCAGGTGTTGGTTTCTATCTATCTCTGCTGATTAACTTTCACAAGCTTTCTATCGACACTATTGCTAGATGCTGCCGGAACATGTGAGTGGGAATTCAAAGAGTGGCAGGACATTCATATAGTAATTAGGGATGGGCATTCCAAGCAAAAATAATATTTGAAAATCGCTGGGTATTCGATTATTATTCGAAAATCGCACCCCTTTGTGCACGCACAAATACCCATAAACAGAGAGAAGGGATTCACGCTTTCAATCTGTAAGATAAACTAATTCAGAAGATAGGCTGTCTTAACTCAAGCCATATAATGATTGTAATGTGCTGAAACATATTAACAGAGCCCGACCGATATGGGTTTTTTGGGGCCGATACCGATATTTGGGAGTAAAAAAAAAAAGGCAGAAATCGACATATCGGATGATATTCTTTGTGTATATTATAGTACAGTACCAGTCAAAAGTTTGGACACTTTCCCCATTCGTGTCAAAACATTTGACTGGTACTCTACAGTGGGGCAAAAAAGTATTTAGTCAGCCACCAATTGTGCAAGTTCTCCCACTTAAAAAGATGAGAGAGGCCTGTAATTTTCATCATAGGATTTTTAAAGAATTAATTGGTAAATTCCTCTGTAAAATAAGTATTTGCACAATTGGTGGCTGACTAAATACTTTTTTTCCCCACTGTATATAGAATACAGTATATACATAAACAGAATACATATCCATAAACACATTTTTTGCAATGATCACTTAAATGTGGTGATCAAACACTTATAATGACATGACAAAGATATGTAATGATGGAATGCAGGGCATTTAACAATTTAACAATAAACTTTATTCAAAATGAGTCTAACATCAGTGCACTGAACAGTACAGTTGAAGTTTATTCAACCTTAATTAAATTCAACTATTCCATTGAAGTTTATTTCACTTTGGAACATTCATTCAAGGATTTGCGCTACTGTCTTCACACACAGACGGAACTTACTAGAGAAGTGTGAAGTGTGACAATTTACCTCTGTAAATAAATATAAATTCACGTCTCGCGCACTTTAATGCCCTTTGAATGCAACATGTACGTTCCCTTGGAACTGGAATCATGGAGGAATATCATGTGAAGTCCACTTCGCGGGGAACTTACAGTCGAATAAGACGATGCTTGAATGCTGCTGCCTGAACAAGAGACCTCCTTACTGAAGTGAAAGTGTTGGCTGGTGTCACTATCTCTCGAATGCGCCGGCGGATCTCCACCAAATTCGGGGGATCCCTTCAGCTCGAGGAGCCCTCCTCGAGCCGTTACGGAGATATGGTCGTTCAAAGTTTCAATGGTTTTCCATTGACTTAAGCTTTAAAGAGTTTCATCCAGGTTACCAGTAGCAAACAATGGAGCGCGCTCTGCTGGACAAACTAATTACACCATTTCAAGCATTTTATCTGCGTTATATGCTCTGTAAAAAAATTAATTTCATATCGGTGGTGTATTCGCCGATACCGACATATCAAATAAATATACTTCGATATCTTCTGTCGCAATTATATCATTGGGTAATTATACTGTATATAAACTGCGGGCATCAGGGAACCGGCGCATTGAAATTGCTCATGAACATGCACTTGTTTTTTACTTTTGAGATTTGCGATCACACGTACGGAGCAGCACTCGGCAGTACTTACCACACATTTGACAAGATTAGATGTTTGTCAGTGGCGCTCAGGATCTGCAAATCATTCGCCATCATCTCTCCTTATTCGGTTTATGTGGTAAGTGAAATATTATGTATTGTGTAATGTAACAGGCTACTGCTAGCAAGCGGCTATCCACGTTCCTATAGTGGCTCCGTAGAACGCGTTATTTGTTTTACGCGCTTTTCTGAATACAGATTCAGCCACACCTCTAACCCAGTCGGGGGTGTTTGTGGTCCGCACAGAGCTCTTATTTGACATCATTCCAAGTTACTGTAACCATTATATGCTACGCAAGTCTTTTTTTTAATGCCACGCAAGTCTACAGTGTGTGCGTGAGACAGTGTTTTTCTGTTGTCTTTGACAGCTTTTAAGTGCTTTTAATGGCAGCGCAACCCTCTGCTTACATGAATGCGTCACCACCGCATCAGCACGGAAAACATGGAGGAAATTTTTTAAGACAATAATCGCAAAACCTATTCGATATTCTATAATTAAATCAACTAATCGAATATTCGAAAATCGCGACCCATCCCTAATAGTAATACATACAGACATGTAATCGCTCTAAAAGTGACATGAGCGTAATCGCTCTAAAAGTGACGTTATCCCCAAAAAAAGTAAATACAGTGAGCTTCAGTTCATCGGTCGTAAAAAGCGATTTAAGAAAAGGTCATCATGACTAGGGCTTCACTGAATCCACAGTTTTCCACAGCCATCATTCACAATAACGTATTTCACTTGCCTGTTTATTATATATTTTGGCTAATTTAAAAATGCTTTCCGCAACCAATAACAGTCATTTTAAGGCTGCTTTTATACTTTATACTAAAGAGATGCACAACATACAATATATAGTGGGGGGGCAATAACACCATCATTGTGCAAATTTGGCGACATTGTGCTGTGGCTCATAGAACTCATGTAGAATTTTTATCCTTACGTAATGAATAATTTTTTTCCTCCATAATTAAAAAGAAAAAAGAAAAAAAAACTCAAAACAGGCAAATTTTACAATCTACATTTAAATAAATAAATAAATAGACAAAAAAGACGTTAAATTCTGAATTTGAAATTTTAATTTTGCGATAAAATTAAATAATTTGTTGCTTGTGGCAATTTGTTGCTTTGTGGAATGGTATCTGCAGTGCACCATTCCATTAAAATACATGGATTGTGGTGAAAAACATTGCATAAAAACAAAAAAGATTCCATGAGGCCTAAGTCTGACTAAACCAAGTGCAGTGTAGTTCTCCCAGTCAATCCCACTTTGGAGTCCTCAGTGCTCCAACAAATCACCATCTGCCAGCAGCCCGTTTGAGAGCGGGGCCACCTACGCCCGCTCAAACGCGGATGTCTGACTGGAGAGGAGAAACCATGTGACTCTACTGCCTCCAGTTCACATACACCAGCCTGCAGTGACGCAGCTCACTTCTGCCACACTGCACACTTAAACAAACCCCAGTTCAGCCGGAGAATCAAAGACAAAGACTGGGAGAGTCTGGATTTATCATGCCTGAGCTGGTTGATCAGTAGCCAAGCCATTCCCAGCCAAACTCAGAGATTCAAGTCCCGATGCCAAGGCTGCCCGGAGGTGTATCAGAGTTCAACATGATACCGCTACACATTAACCACAAATAAAAGAGAACTGTACCGGACTTTCTAGAGCAGGGGTAGGCAAGTTCGGTCCTAGAGAGCCGCAGTCCTGCAGAGTTCAGCTCCAATTCTAATCAGACACACCTGAATAAGCTAATCAATGTCTTCAGGATTACTAAGGCTATAGGCAGGTGAGTTTTTTTTTTCAGGGTTGGAGCTGAACTCTGCAGGACTGCGGCTCTCTAGGACCGAACTTGCCTACCCCTGTTCTAGAGGAAGAGACAAGAGTGTGAACTTCGTTTTGGCTGGGTTCTGCCAGCGTGATGGGAAATTATGGCGTGTACAAGAAGTTGTTAAATATTAATGGTTTATAAGGAAGTATTTTCTAAAGGATATCAGAGCAATCTTTATTAATGATAATGATAGTGAAATATTGATAAGCCATCTCTTAACACAAAGTACTATGGCATTTCAACTGTTTTAAGATTATACCATTCTAAAGCACCTTGCAAATGCCAGTGTATAAGTTTGGTAAATCATTAAAAACCATGGTATATCTCAAACTATTGTCACATTCCCAAATTCACCTACTTATACTATGTCCTGAATGTATGTACTCTTTGTGTGAAGAAAAAGTACATACTTTGGAGCTTGTAGCAGAAAAGTAGGTGAGCTTTGGGACATACCATTTTGTCATAACTGCATCTTTAACAGATTGCTATGTAGTTTAGTTTCATGCATCCAGTCACTATTTAAACTTCCCCGTCAATTATCTTGTCACAGTTAACAATTCAGATTTTATTCAATTTCATACCGTACTGGAGAGAAATTAAGTAGCATGCTGATCTGCCAGTCACGGGTCTTTACTGCCAAGAACTCTCCTCATGTGTTTGTAATGTATAAGTGAGGAATTAAATTATTATTATTCTTTATAATTTCTTGTTAGAGAATTTTGTAACCATGTTGTGCTATTATGAACTATTGGGATGAGCAGTTAATCTAAAAATTCAAAGACTCTAATTTTTTTACCCTTTTACACTTAATAAAACACCCTAAAAATCCCAAAAAAACTAAATCTACATTTAAACTGTTTAAGTGGATAGTGATGCAGAATTTATTTTTTTATTTTTTTTTTTTGCAGAAAGACCAAAATGAAATTTCTAGATGCACTAGATGCCAAAAAACAAAACTGCTTTTTATTAATTATTATTTTATTAAATATTAAATTTAAATCAGTCATTTTAATGATACTGAATTGAAAGAAATACAAGCCAATAAAATAACCACACTTTTATTGAAAGTAAAATCATAATATCAATATATTATTTTTAAGTCAAGTCAAGTCACCTTTATTTATATAGCGCTTTTAACAATACAGATTGTCAAAGCAACTGTACAGCATTCATTAGGAAAATAGTGTGTCAATAACGCAAAATGACAATTAGTAAACACTCAATTTTCAGCTAAAGGCAGTTCATCATTGAATTTAGTGATGTCATCATCCAGCAACACGGGAAACCTCACCCGGCCCAGACATGGAAAAAATTGACAGATTGATAGCTCTTTCTCGATTCTTTGGGTGGTGGTGCATGGCCATTCTTAGTTAGTGGACTGATTTGTCTGGTTCCTTCCGATTATTTTTATTCAGTTCAATGCAATAGAATCAGATTTAACGTTTTTTTTTGTTGTTGTTTGTTTAATTAGCCAAATAATGTATAGCCCTATATTTACAGCCGTTTTCTCTTTTAGCCAAAAACCAAAAATGCTATTTTCGGCTGATAATTTCCAGTGGCCGAAATTTCGGTGCGTCACTACTGAAATCTAAGTTTTCATTTAGCCAAAAACTGAAACTGCAAATAAAGTTTCGTAATTAAATGTGGGTAACTCGGTAATGATACTCCGTATTGTTTAGGAGATTGTGTACTCTGGTGATAAACTGAAACTGAAAACCAGTGATAGTAGGGCTGCACGATAACTCGAAATGAAATTGCAATCGTGATTAGACAGAAGCTGCGATTGTCATGCATATCTTTCAGTGAAGCACGGTTCTGTGATCAGCAGTAAATCTTCATCTGAAGGCCAGAGGGCGCTCTCACACGGAAACTCCAAATACGCCCTGCAGAACAAATCCAGGAAATCTCTATAGCGGTAGCTGAATAAACAGAAGCTTTAACTGCTTTCATTGATTCAACGTGACTAATAAAACACACGACTACGACAATATATGGTTTATTATTATAATTTTCATTATAATAAAGTATATTTATAATGCAATGCCTTTATCACTGCTTAGAATACTATGAAATACGTTGCATGCCTTATTTTGTGTAATTAAATGTGGTATTTTCAGATGCTTTCAGATAGAGCAGCATATACTATACAGACCCGTAGTTCACGGAGAAGCTGAAAGACCAAAACCAAAATTTCTAGATGCACTTGGCCAAAAACCGAAACTGCTTTTTATTAATTATTATTTTATTAAATAACAAAGACTTTTGTCACGATACTGCTAGACATGGAAAGACACAGGGCTTAAGAAATGGGACTACTCAAGGAAATTAACGGGAACCAGCTGAAACAAACGAACAATTGACACGAGGGAGAAACTAGGTCATGGGGAGAACATGGGGAGAAAAACACAAGACATGGGGAACACAAGACTGGCATTACTCCCCACTCCCGGAAGGCGCATCCACGCGCGACACAACAGCCAATGGGGAGGAGGAGTGGGTGCTCTAGAGGCCCCTCAGGACAGACCTACACGGGACGGCAGGCCCCCTGAGTGGTACCTGTTCCGGGACCCATGGCGAATCAGGCAGTTCAGGACGCTATGGCGGATCAGCCAGTTCAGGAGGCCATGGAGGAGTAGTGAGCTCAGGGGGCCATGGCGAAGCAGACAGCTCAGGGGGCCATGGCGGAGGACACTGTTCAGGGGGTCATGGCAGAGCAGACAGTTCAGGAGGCCTGACCTTGGCACTCGGCCTGACCTCTACGGACGTTTCCTATCAGAGCGGGCTCAGGGGCTGGAGCCGACACCGGAGCGGGCTCAGGGGCTGGAGCTGACACCGGAGCGGGCTCAGGGGCTGGAGCCGACAGTCTCTCCCTCCTTAAATTCCTCCCTTGACTTGGGGTTAAGGATTGTGCAGCTGTTAGCTGAGGGCTTGAGTGAACCGACCGGCGGGCTTGACAATGTAACTTCTCGATTTCCGAGCAGCTGGCCGGCTCGACTAAGAAACGGCTGGCTGACTTGACTGATGCGAGGCTGGCGGACTTGACAATGGAGCGGCCGGCGGCCTCGATTTCAGAGCGGCCGGCGGGCTTGACTAAGGAACGGCCGGCGAATTTGACGGCGGGCTCGTTCTGGATCGGGGCCGGACACTGTCCAGACACCGGAGGATCCCTTCCTCCAGCTTAGTCCTGGGGTGTCTGGGAGGTCAACGGGGCGGTAGTAATTTGCCCCAAACCAATGCCATCACCGTGGCAAGCCCGCAGAATTCCCAGGCATACTCAATGAAGGGGAGATCCCTACGGCCTAGGGCAGAGAACCTCGCTGGGGGGTATTCTGTCATGATACTGCTACTGTGGAGGAGATGAAGGAGTGCGGCGATGAAGGAGATTCAGAACTCATCACAGTCTTTATTAAATCCAAAAGACACACATGGAACAGGTAGGAACACACACGTAGCATTGGGGTTAGATGTATAATACCAGACGCTAGACATGGAAAGACACAGGGCTTAAGAAATTGGACTAATCAAGGAAATTAACGGGAACCAGCTGAAACAAATGAACACAATTGACACGAGGGAGAATCTAGGTCATGGGGAGAACATGGGGAGAAAACCACAAGACACGGGAGCACAGGACTGACAACTTTTAATTTAAAGTCATTATTATTTTTATTCAGTTCTAAGCAGCAGAATCAGATTTAACATTTTTGTTTAATTAGCCAAATAATGTATAGCCCTACGAAACTATTATTATACGAGCATTTGAGCAGAACGTAGCGTCACAAGAAGTGAGTTTGGAGTAAAAATGTGTTATTAAATGTGGTATTTTCACATGCTTTCAGATAGAGCAGCATGTACTTATACAGAGCCGTAGTTCACCAAGAAGCTACGCAAACAGCTGTCATTATCGCAAACAATTTCTTCGATTTCATAATCATGCAATAATATCGTCTGCCATTTTTTTGCGTAACTTGTCAGTGAACTACGGCTCTTGTATAGTAAATGCTGCTCCATCTGAAAGCACATGATGGAGATTTACTGCTGATTACAGAACCGACTTTACCGACAAAATGCACATGGCAATCGCATTTGATTAATCGTGCAGCCCTAAGTGACAGTATACTTATTTGGCAATGAGCCACCTCTCCATATTTTCTCTAAATAAATTATCATAATACTCAGTCATAATGTGGTATTAGAGACAAGATAATCATAGGAAACTCTTTTTGGGTTTTGGCTGAATAATATCAATTGCCATCACTACATGAGAAGATATTTTCTTTTTAGTCAACTATTGTGACTAATCCTTTCTGGATAAATTACACTGTGCCATAGTAATGCCACTATTAAAACTTCATTTTGAGCTTAAGTTGACTGAGCTCACTCATGATGCAACAAAATCGTTTAAGTTTACAAATCCCTTGGCATTACATGAGCCTCCCTCTAGCCTGACGAACAGAGAGAGATGGAGAGGAGACAAATAGGATGGACGTGGATTACATAAGCGTCATGGGCGGTGTTATGTCATTCACAAAGCTGCGCTTGAGGATGGAGAGACAGAGGAACTCTCCCTCCCACCAGAACATCCTGCCCTCAACAGCACCACTCCTCCGCAACACACGCAGCGGTCAGGACAGCATGATTAACAAATTTGCTGGAAGTGCTCATGCACAAACATTCACAGCAAGCACCGCTGGAACAACAGCAAAACAAGAGACTGGTGGACAAGGCACGACCGGTGATCAGGTTGGAGGGAAGAGTGCGATCAGTCATGTTTGCAGACGGGGGCAGTATGCGATTACGGGCAGGTGGTATTATCTGCACGTTTTATCTGCCTGTGTGCGTGGGATACGCCTGGACACAGCTCAGACTTCCTGTCAGGCCAACCCTGATGTGCTGGGAAGACAGGGGGCGGTGTCAAAAACAAAGTGGTGCCATCGGGACAAATGCAAACCATCCATTGCAATCTAAATCAGAGTTACCACGAGCCTTTTGTCCAAAATGCACCTACAGCAAAGCAACATTGTGAGACACGAATCTTTGCTGTGATATTTCTTCTCCCTGTCTGTCAGCCCAGTCGCTGTAACATGACCTGAACGGCTGTGATGTCCGTGAATGTGTACCCACATGAAAGATTTCCCTCGCTCTCTTTTGTACCTGAGCGGTTCAGATTAAAAGGGATGATCTCTAGTGCAAACAGAAGAAATCATTACAGCTGAATCAGTTTGTGTAATCAGTTGACATCATACACAGCAAATAAAAAGCTTTCGGAGAAACTGTCCTGAAAGGGCTGCGCCAATCCAACTATAAACTATTCATTCAGCATTACAGCTGGATAATACAGACAAAATATCAACATTTTCAGATATAAGACTATATTTATATTTATGAATTAGCACCAAGTTTTTTTTTTTTTTTTAACCACACAAGCCATTGTTGCCATTTATATACAAAATGTTTAAACCAAGCTGGATAACACAGTACAAATTTAGAAGACAAAAGGCACGTTTTTCCAAATTGAATATTTGTAAAGGATTTGTACGTACCAATTTAACAGTTCAAAGTAAACAAAAGGTGCACTGTACCTGCATTATTTATTATTTTGAAAGCATTTTAAAAGCACATATAAAAATGAGACATAGGGACTGAATAATTTTGAACTATGATGCCAACAGATGATTAAATCAGTGTTTAATATAGACAGATATAAATTTAACTTTCAAATTCCAATTCCATTTTTGCTATAGACATTGAAATAATAAGCTAATATTAAACATTATGTTCTCTTATACTCACAAGTTGGAGTCACAACATCAAAAGTAAGAACTGGCCTACTGGAAACTCAACAAGTTAAAGTGCATGAAACTAAAGTGGATTCATTTTAAATGCAAGCATCATATTGCATGTACTAGGGCTGCACGATATGTCATTTCAGCATCGATATCGCAATGTGCACATCCGCGATAGTCACATCACAGGATGTGCAGTGCTTCCCACATATAGACTTTACTTGGCGGGCCGCCCATATATTAACAGCCACCCAAGTACATATGGAGAAACATTTTTGCTTTTATTATTTTTATCCTCACACTTTTTTTTTATCCGCTCAAAATAATAATACCATCCGTGATCGATTAACTAGTTGAAAATCTCCCCTTCGCCCTACACGTTTCGTATCTGCTCATTCTGTGTGCACGAGAACGGTTTACTCCCGCTGACGTTCCCGCGTGCGCTGCAGAGACGCCGCGAATATTTCACAGACAAAGACAGGGCTTGACAGTGCGGGCACTTCAGTCGCAAATAAAAATAGAAATAGATGTGCGCGAACTGTAAAATGTATTTAAGGAGCACGTGTGCGAATAAAGCAAAATCCCTCCAGGTGAGTTTTCTTAAATTT